CTAAAAACCCATCCAACTATTTGGTTTAGAATGTTTAGGAATTTGATTTCTTTTAAATGTGTTGAGTAAACGTGCTTAATAATCCGGCTAACCTTCCTTGCGATACGACCCGGTGTCGAATCTTTCGATTCTACTCCGGTAAAAATACTTACAACACCGACCACCCAGGCCCCACGACATTCCCATGGTGAAGGAATGCTGGACTCGACGATGCTGAGCTGGACACGACGATGAAGGCTCGGACATGCGGGGTTGCGACGACGACGCACTAAGGACTAGCAGCACCAACGAATTTCTGATGACCAACTTTCTTGGACAAAAAGTTTCCTGTATATAGAATTCTAGGATGGTAAGGAAAAATCAGTTCCAATAGGACATGGACTGATTGGTTTTCTCAATCACCTAGACTTCTAATTAATGACCATAACAGTTTGATTTTTATTTCCTTGTTTTTATTATTTCTATTAATTGCTTAATGTGAATGTTTTACTAATTATAGCTTGAATGCATGGAAATTTCATGTTAGAAAAATCTTTATTTTAAAATACTGAATGGGAGAATTTTTTTAAAAAAAAATCAAAATTAATTTTAAAAATCTTACGACCTCTATTGCCGGTTTTTTGGTGATGCAATTACTTTACGTGTGGATATTTAAGGCCTTCCCCCCAACGGATAAGAATTCATGCCCGCAACCGCTCATGGCCATGAACCAGCTCATAAAACACCCAAGGCTTCCTGGCCCACAATGAAAAAAAACCTTCGTGACCTGCTACGACCACGAACCTTGCTCATGGGCTCCTGTCTTCAGAGTTTCACTGCCCCCGAAGAACGAATGTTGCTTCTACTAATATGGACGATGTTTTGGATTGATTTTGAATTTGTTTAAATATAAAATTTGATCATATGAGAAGGACATTCTTGATCATTAAGAAAATATTTGTTTTCTTAGTTTTGAATATTTTATTTTGCATATCACTCCAAGATTGGGGAATTTTATGGTTTTTGGATTATAATCTTGGACGGAGAAACGATCTCGTAGTTAATCATGTTTTTTTTCATTTTTATTATGGATGTGAATTATGTGGCTGTCATGAGATTTGGTTTTCTTCTGATATTATGAGCTAAATTCTTCTACTATTCTCAACTTGTGTATGATTTTAACTAGTTATCAACTTATGTGCATTGATTTGCATTAGGATTAGAGGTTGATCACCGACTAGGTCACTTAAATGATTTTAGAACTGAAAGGGCATAAATTATTGCACCATGCCGTGCATAGGATAGACTTGTTCGCAATAGTACTTTTTATATGTTTATTCGATTGAATGACATGTGTGCACCTTTATTACAAATAGTTATTGAGTATAGACCTCAAACCACCTGACTTGACCTTGGTTGAACAATGCTGCTTTTTTTGCGACTCTCGAGAAAAGAGGCGACACCGACAGTATGTGGACGCCTTACATGTATTTCGCTTGGAGGTTCTGCAAAAATGGTGGTTTGTGTAAAGTCTTGCACAACGAATTTTGGGAAGGGGTTGAGGTGGGGTCTCCGAGTAAGGGCAGCTCAGGGTTTGAGGAGCTCTTGGGGATAAAAGCACTGCAGCAGCATATGTAAGTTGCGTTTCAGAATCCTTTGCTCATACACACATACATACTGTACATTTATTGGGGCCAAAGTTACTTTGAGAGAAATGCTCACCTACCCACGGTGGGCACATGTTAATATGTCCACCGCGTAGGTGGCATGCACTCATTGGTGATGTATTTTTTTAAACATATTAACATCACCAATAAGTGCATGTCACCTACGCGGTGGACATATTAACATGTGCCCACTGTGGGTACGGGAGCACTACTCGTTACTTTGATCCATTCACATGGTGTTTCAGGAGCGGCTTATTAATTTTATTCCTTAAAAAAGTGTAACAAATTATCTACACTATAGATATCAAAAAATTTATGAACAATCGAAATGATTAAACGTACGTTCATCTGAAGCCAAGTTTTTCTTTTTTTGCTTTTTTTCTTATCTCGAGCTATAATCTCAAGAAAAACAAAGAATATGTCATGATAAATGGCGTTATCAAGCCAAATCCTTCAGAGTAACCGACCTCTACAAGTAATAAATGTTGATTGATATAGTTGATACGTGATAGTTAGTTATGTATGACTAGATGAATAATATTTTCTTTAAACAATTATATATTAATAGTTAACTTTTACTTTTTATTTGTGTCAGTGAGTTAAAAAAATGAAATTAAATGAATAATATTATTTATTATTTATTTCATTTTTAAGAAAAATTCTCTCTCTTAAATTTCCTGTACCGATAAGAAAAAAACATAGCAACAAGAAAAAAAGTATATTCTAGTCCCCCCCCCCCC